GGGAGGGACGGAGGGAGAACTCAACGTACAAAAATTCCAGCAGCACAATAATTTCTTGAACCAAGAATAACCAAGCACTTTTATGATGAGCAGACAGTACTGCTGACCATCGGTGTAAGTACCGCGGCTCAGTGAGGCTTCAGTCTGCACGGGCACAGGCTGAACTACTGGCCCGTAAGCGTTCCAAACTAGAAAAGGGAACGCTGGCATTCAAATGGCCGGCCGGCAAATCTACAAAATACCAGGATACCGGGGATTTGGAAGATATGGCCGACGGCCTAGGAAATGCCTTGGCGCAAAAACAGTCCGAAGGACTGATGCTGCAAATGAACTGGTACTGAACAAGTCCATGGCAGGCTACAACACCCCGCCTTCGGATGACCACTTGCCGCCAAGATCAAGAAATGAAAATCCTAGTCATTACTACCACCCCCAAACCACTGCCTCCCCTTCACCCTCAGCACCCTGATCAACAGTAGAGCGTCAAACATTCTTGGAAAGCAACTTTATGGACGACATTGCAGAAAGGACTCACAAACAAATTGTTTTACACAGAGAACCACAACCACCTGCATTAGCTTACAAGTTGTGAAAGCCAATAAATGAGCCCTTCTTCGAAATTAATCCTACCAGATGCTGATGTTCAATCATTGGAATGAAGACAACTATAAATTGCTTGAGGCCTCCATGAGAATAACCAAAGTCAATGTAGCTCCAAAGAGTTGAATCTGGGAGGTGGAAACCGCTGGCATGTGCATCCATCCTTTCACACAGCTCTCGCGCAAACTTTCTGAGCATCCCATCGCTTCAGCCGGCTGCTGATAACCAATTTCCTCACAACTTACAGACCCGGTTTCCAGCAGGTGATGCTCCCCACCAATAGATGGAGCGGCCCGCTGACAAAGCCTCAACCCCGGTGGTTCTCTTACCACCACTGGGATAGAGGCCTTGCACAAGGGCCTTCTAATTATATAAAAAAAAAAAGATCCGACTTTTAGGGAAGTGTTTGACACTTCCAGCACAGCAGAGCGAGACGCTTGATGGACAAATTATTAAAATGCCTCCTCTTATGCTGTGTGTTCACAATGCAATAATGTTTCCCGATTACTTGTAGGGGACCACCTGAAAATTCTCAGCATGATCCAACAGCCTGCCCATTTTGCAGCATTCCTATTGTATAACACATGGTAAAAACAACCTGAGGTCATTACACACTCACCCCGTGCGATGTTGGCTTTGTCTATGGTGGTGTGTGCCTACTGTGCACACCCCTTCATCCCAAGCAAATGTGCATATTAGCTTCTCTTTTTTTTTTCTTTTTTTTTTTGTGAAAAGCCTGTGGTCCCTACTAGGGGGGGTGATATGAGCAGCCCATCCTAGTATGCCCTGCTGGCTGCTCCATCTATTGGCGGGGAGCTACACCTGCTGGAAACCGGGTCCAGCGTCCCCTTCTCTAATACTATAAAGCAAGAAACGGGTCTCGTGTGACGCTACCGCTGGGCCCAGCGAAATTCGGGCAGGGAGGTCCGCGCGCGGTGCCGCAGGGGACCTAGGAGGGCGCGACGGTGGGGGAGGTCCGTAGCCGGGACGGGCGCGGTCGTGACGGGGGGGGGCGGTGGGCGGTCGGTGTTGGCGTGACTTTATGAACAGGCTCTTTTTTCGTTACCGTTTTTTCTCGCGCCGCGCCGGGGGGAGGTTGGGAAGTAGCATGTTCTAGCCGAAGATTCAACCAGGTAGTGTATGTTTCCATGTTCTAGCCGAAGATTCATTGGATGTTGCTCATCCTATCGATGGAAGTACCATGGCGCGAGCCGCGAGGTCGGACAGTTATCGTCTCTCTCTCTCTCTCTCTCTCTCTCTCT